GAGGAGGAGGAGGAGGAGGAGGAGGAGGAGGAGGAGGAGGAGGAGGAGGAGGAGGAGGAGGAGGAGGAGGAGGAGGAGGAGGAGAAGAAGAAGGAGAAGGAGAAGGAGAAGGAGAAGGAGAAGGAGAAGGAGGAGAAGGAGAAGGAGGAGAAGGAGAAGGAGGAGAAGGAGAAGGAGGAGAAGGAGAAGGAGGAGAAGGAGAAGGAGGAGAAGGAGAAGGAGGAGAAGGAGAAGGAGGAGAAGGAGAAGGAGGAGAAGGAGAAGGAGGAGAAGGAGAAGGAGAAGGAGAAGGAGAAGGAGAAGGAGAAGGAGAAGGAGAAGGAGAAGAAGGAGAAGGAGAAGGAGGAGAAGGAGAAGGAGAAGAAGGAGAAGGAGAAGGAGAAGGAGAAGGAGAAGAAGAAGAAGAAGAAGAAGAAGAAGAAGAAGAAGAAGAAGAAGAAGAAGGAGGAAGAGGAGGAGGAGGAGGGAAGAGGGGAGGGTGGATGAGATAATTGGGGGTGGGGGAGGGAGGGAATGTGCTACCGAGAAAAGCACTGGAAAGAGGAAGGTTAAAATGCTCTCATTCTCCCGTGCTTGGCCTGAAACGTTCTTGCACACTTGTTTTTTGGATCATTTTGTTTTGTTTTTGAGTATTGATTTTGTCTTGTATATTTAGTTTTAATGTCATCACCACTATCATCATCATCATCAATGAACGAGAACGTGTGTGTGTGTATGTGTGTGTGTGTGTGTGTGTGTGTGTGTATGTGTGTGTGTGTGCGTGCGTGCGTGCGTTTGTGTGTGCGTGCGTACGTGTGTGTGTGTATGTATGTATGTATGTATGTATGAATCTGCGGTTGTCACTCCAATCATTTGTCTCGACATCATCATCATCATCATCGTTATCATTACCACCACCACCATTATCACCATCACTATTGTCATTATTTAATATATCATCATCATCTTAACCATCATTATTTGTTATTAATTTCATTGTACAATTAATCCCCGAGTTACCAGCGGCGGGGGGGGGGGGGGGGACGAGGCTATACTTCCTTCCTCGCGAATTCCCCGACAAATGGTTATTCGGGGAAGGAAGGACGTGACTTCACGCCCACCCACGCTGCTGATTGTGGTGCGGGCGGGGGCGTGAAGGCGTGCGTGGGTGGGGGTGGGGGGGAGGAGGAGCCGTTCGATCAAGGGCGATGTGTGCGGTGTGGGCGGCGAAGAGGTTCATTACGCGGGAGTGATGGAGAGAAGGGGAGGGGGGGGGAGTGGGCGGGTTGGTGGGAAACGGGGCGGGTGAGGGGAAAAGGGGAAAAGGGAGGAGAGGGGAAAAGGTGGAAGGAGGAGAAAAAAAAGGAGGAGAGGAGGAAGGGAAGAGAAAGGGTGAAAACGGAGAAAGGGGTAACATGAAGAAAGGGAATGGAGAAAGGGGGAGAATGAAGAAAGGGAATGGAAAAAGGGAATGGAGAAAGGGGGAGAATGAAGAAAGGGGTGAGCATGCAAGGGAATGAGGTAGTGAGCTTGAAATGATAGAGCTTCGGCCGCCCAAACCACCGTTTCTCCTTCTTTCCCCTCTTTCCTCTCCCTTATCCTTCCCTTCTTCGTCTCTCCCTTCGCTTTATTCTCCCTTCCTCCTCCTCCTCCTTTACATTTTCATCCCCTTCCTTCTCCCTCCGTCTCCCTTCTCCTCCTACCATTGCATTCCTTAATCTTCTTCTCTCTCTTCTCCTTCCTCCTCCCTCCTAGTTTCCCTCTTCTCCTGTCTTCCCCTTTCTCCTCCTTCTATTTCACTTTCCCTGTCTCCTTTCTTTTCTTTTCTCCTTCCTTAGCCTTCTTGCCCCTCTCGTGCCTCATATTTTTCCTCATCTCTTTCCTTAACCATCCCCTTCTCTCCCTTTCTCCCGCTCTTTATCCTCCCTTCCCATTCCTTGTCCCTTGTCCTTCATTTCCTCCATTTCTTCCCCCACCCTCTCTCTCCCTTATTCCTTTCCTCCCGCCATTCCTCCTCTCTCCCTTTCTTCTCACCTTCCTCCTCCTCCCCTTCCCCCTTCTTCCTTTTACCCCGTTCTTTCCCCCCCACTCTTCCCCATTTTTTTCCCTCAACCTTCCTTTCCACCATCCTTCCCCCTCTACCATTCCTCCTCCCTCACTTTCCCCCACCCTTCCCCATGCCTTTCCCCCTTTCCCCAAGTGTCTCCCCACTCTCTCCCCCCCCTCTCCCCCCAATCTTCCCTCCCTCTTCCCCCTCCCTTCATACCCTCCCTCCCTCCCTCCCCCTGAGACGCAGCCTCCCTCCGGCCGCGTTTCGTGCAGGCGTCATTAGCGAGGAGCGCCGCGGACACGGCCAGATGTAAAATCGACGGTAAGTTGATTTACGAGTGAAGCGGCCGAGGCTCTTTGGCGGAATTGGCGTCGGCGGGAACCAGGTGCGGACTGGAGGGCTGGTATTACGTGTAACTGACGCGTATTAATGAATAAATGTTTTGGTGTGTTGCCCGAGAGGGAGAGGGAGAGGGACAAGGAGAGAGGGAGAGGGAGAGCGGGAGGGACAGGGGCGGTGTCATTGTGCTTGATGTGGGTTCTCTGTTTCGTCTGCCTTTGTGAATAATGTTTTATTGTGTGGGGAGAGAATGGGAAGAAGCAGGGGGAGGAGGGGGTAGGGAGAGGAGGGTTGAAGGGACGGGGAGGTGGAGGGAGGCAGGATAGGAACGAAAGGAGAGGGAGAGGGATGAGGAGAGAGAGAGAGGGATGAGGAGAGAGAGAGAGAGTGAGAGAGAGAGAGTGAGAGAGAGAGAGAGAGAGAGAGAGAGAGAGAGAGAGAGAGAGAGAGAGAGAGAGAGAGAGAAGAAAGAAAGAAAGAAAGGCAGAGATAGATAGAGAGAGAGAGACAGACAGACAGACAGACAGACAGACAGACAGACAGACAGACAGACAGACTGAGACAGAGAGAGAGCTATATTCAGGAACAAAAAAAAAAAATAAAGAAAAGTAAAAGAAAAAGGAGAGAAAATTATGTTGTTTTTCATAATAAACGTTTACCCCCCTCCCCCCCTACCACATCGTGCGAAACTCCGAGCGAATCCTGGAATCCGCAGTCGTTCCTGTCACGTTTGACCCGCATTATACCCCCTAAATGTGGCGGTTTTCTATGTAAATGTGCGCCTCGGCTACGCATTCGGACAGGGGAGGAAAGGAAGGGGAGGGTGAGAAAGAAAGGGAGAATAAGAAGAACAGGAAGGGGAGGGATAGAACGAAAAGGGAGGAGAAGAGGAAGGAGAGGGAGAGAAGGAAAGGGAGAGGGAAAAGGAGAAGAGGAAGGGGAGGGAGAGAAGGAAAAGGGAGGAGAAGAGGAAAGGGAGGGAGAGAAGGAAAGAGAGACTGAAAAGGAGAACAGGAAGGGGAGGGAGAGAACGAAAGGGGGGAGAAGAGGAAGGGGAGGGAGAGTGAAAAGGAGAAGATAAAGAGGAGGGAGAGAACGGAAATGGAGATTGAAAAGGAGGAGAAAGGGGAAGGGAGAGAGAGAAAATGGAATGAGAGTGAAGGAGAGGAGAAGAGGAAAAGGAGAGAGAGACCAGAAAGCAAGAGAGAAAGAGAGGGATAGAACGAAGGAGAGGGGGAGTGAAAAGATGGAGAAGAGGAGAGGAGGGGGGAAAGAGAAGGAGAGGGGAAAAGGGGAGGGAGAGGGGAAAAAGGGGGAAACAAAACGAACAGGCGAGTGACAAATGAGCATAATCCGAAGGCGGAGAAGCGGAGTGCGTTCGACGTCCAAACGATTAGGAGAACAAGGCCCGCGCTCTTAACGATGCACCTGCTACAGCGGCCGCTCTCCCTCCCTCGCCCTGCGCCGGTTCGGTTGTTGCTTGCGTTATTGTTATTATTTACATCCTCTTCATCTTTATCTTTATTGTCTTCATCATCATCATTATCATCATCACCACCATCACCATCATCATCATCATCATCATCATCATCATCATCATCACCATCATCATCACCATCATCATTATTATCATCATTATTATCATCATCATCAATCAATATGTCACACTCATAATTGATTTTGCTTTCGTTATTATCAGCAAAACCAAGTACAATGCGTCTCATTTACACATTAATGATTAAATTAGCATAATTTCAAGTAAAATGATAGCAATTGATAATACTTGATAACAGTGGAAGGAGGATTAGAGATATTACAAAAACTTAAAACTGCACAATCTGTTTTTGTTTATGATTTCTTGAACATGATTTCCAGTAAAATGATAGCAATTGATTATTTATGTGTAATATTACTTACGAAAATGTGAAACTGCAAGATCCGTTTTTTGCTCTGTGGTCTGATGCACCTTGGGGAGCGTGGTTCGTGTGGTTCTTTATATCCCCCCTAATTTCTGTTTCTTGTCGCGTTGGCATTCTTTTGAGGCCGTTTTGCTTGCGTCGCGTTGCTTGCTTTAATCCGTTGTAATTGGAGGCAGGCGAAGAAGGAAGAGAAAGACTGTTTGGCCTGTTTTTTTTTGTGGTGGTGGTGGTGGGGGGGGATTCGGTAATGCGATGTGTTTGTTTTGTCTTTATTTGGACAGTCACATAAAGGTTTGGTTGTCTTGGCTAAGCACACGCAAATACACACGCAAGCATCACGTGTGGTATGATGCAGGGCATTAATATGTTGTAAATATGGAAATTAATGGTATGTGTAAACTGAGTAAGTTTGTGATTTAAGCGGATTTATGATTTAGGTAAATGGGGAAAATGGGATGTTTAGTTAGACTGAATAGTCACTCCTTGTGATACCAAGACAGAACTCGAGTTGCAGCAGCATTGTTGCACTCCTCTTGCAGGTTGCGTGGATTCGCATGTTCGTGTCTTATGGAAGCGGTGCAAGAGAGTTCAGTGACACTCTCTCCTCCAGGAGCTGAAATCTGAAATCTCTCGCCTACAGATTTCGGGAGAGTGCTCTTAGACTTATTAAACTGTATTCTGTATGATGACATAAGTGAATTTGTTTCTTACAGGCTTTTACAGGTTGCAATAAGAGAGAGACGATTGGCAAGCGTTGTTGGAAAGAACAAAGCGTCAGAGTGTAGACGCGAGAACGGATATCACAGCAGGAGAAAACTTGCCTACCAAGGCGGCAACGAAGGCGCCCCTCGCCCGAGGACGCCGCCGCTGGCCCTTTGCGGACGTCGAGCCGCTGGTGGCTGCTTGCGTCGCCCACCCGCGAGTGTCCGCCCACCGCCCACCATGGTGTGACCCCGGGTGCCTCGTGTGTCGCGTCGGGCGCGGTGCTGCGGCCGGGTGCGCGGGCGTGCGAGCCACGCGCCAGCGGGCAGGAAGCCAGTGTGAGCAAGTGCCGCGTGCGGCCGTGCAGGCCCGGTGAGTGAGTGCCGCGCGTGAAGTCCTCGTCGCAGCTATATGCCGCAGGCGTCCCCCAGGGCCAAAGGGGCCGACCTGAGAGGCTCTGGGCTGCGCTTGGGGTGTGGGCGCGAGAAGGGCGCGGCGGGGAGGGGGCGGTGATGATGGTGGTGTGCGATGGGTGACGGGCGGCCGTGGTGGTCGGGCCCGCGCCGCGTGCGCCGCGTGCACGGCCTCCAGCTGCCACTACACCCGCAGCAGGTGCTCGCGTGGCTGGTGATGGCCGCCTTTACCTCCCTCATGTACGGCGCCGTCCTCCCCGCCCTCCACTCGCGCCTCGCCACGCCCCTCGCCGTAGTGACGGGCATGGTGTTCGCCGCCCACATCCTAACGCACATCGTGGCGCTGGCGCTGGACCCCGCCGACACGCAGCTGCGCGCCCGCAAGGACAGGCAGCAGGTGCCCGAATTCGATAGAAATGTGCATTCGCACGTCATAGAAAATGGACGCTGCCATCTGTGTAATATAACCATATCTTCTAGTCGGACTAAGCACTGCAGCGCTTGCAACAAGTGCGTGGATGTGTTTGATCACCACTGCAAGTGGCTGAACCACTGCGTGGGCCGCCGCAACTACCGCGTGTTCCTGGCGTGCGTCATCACGGCCATCCTCTCGTGTTTGCTGGTCATGGCTACCTGCCTCGCAGAGATCGTGCTCTACTACTTCAAGCGGGAGTACCTGGCGCCGTGGGAATCCCCGCGCCCCGAGGTGCCCCCGCCCCCCGTGGAGGAGGTGGAGGACGAGGCATCGCTCACGTGCTCGGAGGGCGCGCCCTACTGCCACTTCTCCATCTTCGGTGCTTTGGTCTACGACGGCGCCTTCATCGGCCTCCTGTCCACGCTGTTCTCAGTGGCGTTGGTGGCCGAGGTCCTGCTCGTCCACCTGGCCGCCTTCCACGCCTACATCATCTGCCTGGGCTTCACCACCTACGAGTACATCCGGGGGCATCACCTCCGGGGCTCGACCTCCGCCCACTCCTTCAGCACGTATGGGCGTGACGGCGGCACGGAGCGCGAGGGCGCCGTGTGCGGGTGGGCGGTGAAGCGGGTGCCCGCCAACAACCAGATCACGCCCTCCTCCACCACGGACACTAACCTCCTGTCCACAATATCCGTGGACTCCCTCAGCACCTCCACCACCACGGCCCGCTCCCCCCGGTCTTCCACATCCACCACGCCCGGCCTCTCCCCCACCACGCCCTCGGACGACAGCCGCTCGCCGTCGGCCTCCAAGAACCAGCTCCTCAACCACAGCTCGCGCATCCAGCAGAGCGGCGGGCGGGGCTGCTCGGCCATGGCGTCCCCCACCAACACCGCGCCCAGAACGCCTCCGACGAGGGCCTCCAGCGTGCCACAGCTGCCCCAGATCCAGGTGGGGCGCGCCAGGGCCCAGTTGAGGACCCTCAGCCGGGCGGTGTCGACCGCGGTCAGCGAATTCACGGTGGACGAGGACGTCGAGGTGCGCGTGGTGGCGCTGCCGCGGCCGCGACCGTCTCGTCGAAGACTGCGCTCCAGCATAGCGCCGCACTTGTCGCCCATCAAGGAGTGCGACCAGATAGCGCCCAGCCCGCCCACGGTGCGGGCGGTGCGCGAACAATCGAGTGCGTCCCCGAGTCCGGCCGGCAGTCCCGCCCAAACCCCCGTTCACACGCCCTCCCGCAGTCCGCGGCCGAGCCCCGTGCGCGGGCCGCACACGCCCACCAAGGTGAGTCCGCTGGCGGGCGGCGCCGACGTGACGAGACGTGCCAACGGCCACAGTGTTGTCAGTCGAGTGAAGATGAACGGTAACATCGGCGAGACCACCAATGGCTACAGCAGGACGCCGCCGCCAGTGTCTAGTGCCAATACCAAGTTGCTGAAGGAGGTGGGGGCGCACGGCGGCGTGTACGTCGGGCCCCAGGACCCCAACTGCAACATCCTGGGGTCGAGGGCGTGTAACAGCGGTTCCGCCCCGCGTACCAACGGCACGGTGGCCCACGTGGAACTACACATGTAGGGTCCGCCCGCGCCCACGCCCGCCAGGACCGGCAACCGCCCACACCGTAATCTTGCTCACATGCTCTGCCACTATTTATATGGACAGATGCCTTTTATATCAGAGAAATATTGTTAATATTGTGATGATGGTAATGCGCGTTTATTTCTGATATTCGGGGTTACATAATAGGATGAATTGTGTATTTAGGATGTGAAGTAATGATACTGTAGGTAGCCAATGGCAAAGAAGTAGCTGTTCAGAGAGCAATATATCGACGACGTAGAGTGTAGCAGCCAGCCATTATCGTGCCAACGCTCCCTCCGCCCCGCCACAAACCCTCAGTCCATTCTGACCCCGTCTTGACCTGTAGCTGACTCCCTGCTTTGACCCCTTCTTGATCCTGTTTTGACCTGTAGCTGACCCTGCTTCGACCCCTACTGAATCCTGTCTTAACTTATAGTTGATCTTGCCCTGTCTCGGCCTGTAGCTGACCCTGCCCTGTCTTACCCTGTAGTTGACCCCGCCCTATCTTGACCTGTAGCTGACCCCCTGCTTCGAACTTCTCCGGATTCTGTCTTGACCTGTAGCTAACCTCTACCTTAATCTTGACATTAAGGTGACCTCGCTTTGACCCTTAATAGATTCCCTCCTTGACCTATAGCTGAACCTGCCTTGACCCTTACTGAATCCCCAATTTGACCTGTAGTTCTCCTACTCTGTTCGCCAAACCCGACTGTAGTTTGACACTCAAGTGTACCAACCTACGCCTGACTCTAATTGTTCATTATCCACTTTTGCTTACTCAGTTATTGGAACTTTGTTGTTATTATTGTTGTTATAATTATTATTATTATTATTGTTATTATTATTATTATTATCATCATTATCATTATGATTTTATCGTCATAATGATAACAATATTATTATTATTATTATTATTATTATTATTATTATTATTGTTACTCTTTATTATCGCTACTGCTACCAGTTATAGTTACCGGTTGGCATTGTTATTACTGTTAAAGTCGTTCTTTTCTGTTAGTTTTGGTTCTTGATTATTGTTCCTTTCATTAGAATAGAGCATGAGCATATCCTTGACCTGGCAATCCCTGTAGTTGTCTTTTCATCCTTATTCCTTGTAGGATCCTGCGCGGTGTCATAAGGACTTTTCATTGGACCTGATCATCGTCTTCCTCAAATAACCTGCCAAACTTTCGTGTAGTTTCACTTCTTGTAGTGGATATCACCGTCATTATCTTCTCTCGTCTCGTATTTTTTCTCTCGTTATTCTCCTTCCTCCTCTCAACCCCTATTTCCGTCTTCTCTCGAGCCTGTCTCCTGCTAGGTGTCGCCGCCTGTCGTCGAGTTCTAGAACCATCGGTGTCTCGCTCTCTCTTTGCTCCCTCGATGCGCTCCTATCTAACCATATCTGTAGAGGCACCAGTACAGCCCGGTAGTCTGCCTTTCATCTTATTCCCAGAGGCTTCTCTACTCCTCGTCTCCTCCTCCTCCTCCTCCTTCTTCTACTTCTGCGTCTTCGTCTTTTTGTGCCATATTCTTCTTTTCCCTTTTCTCGTTCGTTCTCGTCCAGGCATTCGCGAATTTTTTTTTTTCTTCACTAAGATCTTACTCCCTTCTCTTACCTTCCTCTCATGCTATCTCCCTTCCCCCTTCTTACCTTCAGTTCACCCCAACTCCTCTCTTCCCTTCCCTCCCTCCTCCCCCTTTTTGCTCGCCTTCATTTTCATCTCCCTTGCAACACTCCCCCCCCCCCTCTCTCTCTCTCTCTCTCTCTCTCTCTCTCTCTCTCTCTCTCTCTCTCTCTCTCTCTCTCTCTCTCTCTCTCTCTCTCTCTCTCTCCCTCCCTGTATCTTGATCCTCCCCTTTCGAGAACTTGAGAAGTTTAGGAAGACGGGTCAGTTTGGCGAACTTTCCTGGAGGATGGATCAAGGTCGTGCTTGTGTGGTTGAGCTCCATTTGTGTGGTTGAGCCCTTCCCGACCTCCGAGGGGCGTGGCCTGTCTCTAGAAATTCGGCGGGAGAGGGGCGTGATGCTGTAAGAAGGCACGCAAGGATGGCCAAGTTTATCTCTTTTTATATATATATGTTGACGAATTTCGCCTCCATTGAGAGTCGTGGAAGCTGTGTGTTCCAAGGATTTATGTGTTGAGAGATGTTGACACCTGGTACGGTCTAACAGAACGGAAGAAAAGAAAACAAAGGAAAAGCTAACCACATGTAAACGTTGTACTCTCTCTCTCCCTATCCAGCTTCAGTTAGAAATATTTGGAAATAAATATATAGTTCACTCTGCCGAATGGAAAATAATAAGAGACGAGATATACTTTTGAGATTATTGCAAGTTAAGAGATTATAATTTTTTGATATGAGATGAATATTCAAACTGATATTTTCATATTCATATATACCACATAGTCTTCATCGTACATGTAACTACACTTCATACCGTCACCATGCAGTCCAGTGTATTGATACAAGACGCACGTAATCATAGTGTAGGTGTCCTTCTAGGCAAAATGAGAATAGCAACATTGGAGTGGAAGTGCCAAAAAATCTCTCTCGTTGTCATTGTTTTGTTGATAAATAGATACGGTTTTAGAATTCCGCCTGGTTAGCGTAAGTTAAGTAAAAGGGGTGGAAGCGATTAGAGATGGTAATAAAATATGAGAGCTAGTTTTGGTAGATGTTATTAAAGAAACAGAAAAAACAGAATGAAAATATTACTTACGTCATTGTCATTCTGATGAAAAGATTTTCGTGTCCATGTTGCTGGAGGTTATTGCGAGGCGCAGCTCGTCATATTTCCCCTCTGATCCTTTCGGGATAGGAAACTAATATTCATAAAAGAGAAACAGAACCAGAACTAAATAGTTTGCATTCGCTGTCTCGACCAACCCCCCAAAAAAAATCCGAAGTGAAAGCAATGAACGCCGTTTTTGTCGAAGGTACGAACGAAGCCAGGCAAGAGGAATCGGAGGCCACTGGGTTTTCGGCGGGAAACCAGAGCGCGACATCATATCATGCGTCAACACTGCCACACGCTTCACTCTCTGAATATGCAAACGGAGGCATCTTGTGATTTTTCCGTCAGGGTGTAAACCTTTCAACCCCCGCGGCCCTGCAGGTTAGGGCGAATATTTTAAGGCGCGTCGAGGAAGGGTCGTTTGATGGGAAATTCACGGAAACGGAAGAGGAAAGTCAATATGATCGCGTTTCGAGGGTCAGGGTTGAATTCTTGGGCGAAACGGAAAACACGGGTTTGAGGTAAAGTTAAGGGTTAAAAGTATTTTTTTCTTTTTGGGAAATTTACAACCGAGGGTACTTTAACGATTTCAGTTTATTGACATTCCAGTGGCCATGGAAATTTTAGGGAAGTTTTCAACTATGGGTGCTTAAATGATTTTTAGTTTGTTGATATATCTGGCCATTATTTTTTTTAAAGGGTAAACCCCTCGGCATTACATGCGTTCACAATACCACACAAGACATACTCATTACTTGTGGTCATCAGGAATACTTTACGCAAATAAAATAAAAAAAACCCAACAAACTCAATCAGTCTTTCAGCCATTCCCACATTGCCTTTGAGAAGAATAAGCACGTTTGCCTTAACTTCCCCAGACTTCCCGAAGTTCCCCTCGCGAAGAGCGCGTTCGTTTCGTGCCGGCTCTTCGCGGACGCCTCTCAAGACTCGCCACTTCGATTGGCTTTGTCTCCTCGGCCGGCTGGAGTGGCCTGAGGGGGGGGGGCGGCTCCTCCTCCGGGCAAAGGGCACTTGGAAACGCTCTCGAATACTAGACAAGGTGATTAGGTGGTGGAATTGCCTAAATTAGATGGCGATGATAACAGGTGATAAAGAATTATGTTGATAATGTTATGATGATGATAAGGATATTTGTATATGTATTAATAATGATTATAAATATAGTACGGATAGTAATTCAGATGATCATAATAATAATAATAATAGTAATAATAATAATGATAATAATATTGACGAGAAAAATCGTTATGATAATAATGGAAACCGTGGTCAGGGAAGGTTTATCCGAGGAGGACTAAATACGAACCGGAACGTTACAGACCTTATAATGACCTTTGGATTCGAAACAGCCCTTTTTTTCCCCCCACCCCCTGCCCTCCTGTTCCCTTCGCCTGGTTTGCCTCTTTACAAAGGGTGGACGAGAAGGTAATTCATGGTAACTGCAGATTAGTACAATTCTCCCTCTTCCTCCTCCTCCTCCCCCCTTCGATCCCCATTTCCCCCACTTTCACATACCCATTCCATCAACTTCCTTCCTTCCTTTCCCTGGCTTTCCTCTCCCTCCTCTACTCTTCCTTCCCCTTCCCTCCCCTTCCTTTCCCTCCCCTACCCTTCCTTTTCCTCCTCTACCCTTCCTGTCCCTCCTCTACCTTTTCCTTTCCTTTCCCTTCCCTTCCCTCAGCCCTGGGCACTGGGGAGTAATGTTGCTGAGTCACTGTTGTATAATTTCCCCCGAGGGTCGCGCCGGACCTAGAGTCCAGGCGACCTGTCCCGCCATTCTCAGACGACCTCCGTTGAGGGACCGCGGGTGAAGGAGGTCCCCTGGAGGCCCCTGGCAAGCAAGCGTGTCTTTGCTCTTCCCTTCCCCGACTTTGGGTTAGAGCTATACTTTACTTTGACGGTAATGAATAGGTGTAGGGACCCGTGTTGTTTCATTTTGTGTGGCTCTCATTTCGGTGTTTTTCAACGATAACCACAGTAGGGACGATTTATTTTCTTGAGCAGATAAGTGTGATATATATTATATATATATATATATATATATATATATATATATATATATGTATATATATATATGTGTGTGTGTGTGTGTGTGTGTGTGTGTGTATGTATGTATATATATATATATATATATATATATATATATATATATATATATATATATTTATATATATATATTTATATATATATACACACATATAGATATATATATACACATACATATACATATATAT